GGGACTGATGATCATCACGGTGCCGTTCGGCATCACGTGACCTGCTGCAAGGGTAAGGGAACACTCTCAATTGCCGTATCTTCCATGAACCAGTCATGAATCCAAACAAATCGAAATAGATGAATCGCCTCAGTTTTGATTCATATTCTTTGAACTAAAATGAGGCTACCGTCATTCGTGCGGGAATGTCAGTGAAATAGAATTATTGAGATAGAACTCCAGGAAAATTCTTTGAAGACAGCGCTTTAGAATTATTGCTGGAAGTAATGGGAAGGAACAAAAATTATTGTAATAGAATTAAAATCGCGGTGTTTCCTGTCGGAGTCTACATTTTCTAAATTATGGCGAGAAGCTGCAAGCTATTGTTTATTGCGCTTTGGCTGACATTATTTACTCGACGGAAGTTTTTCATCTTCCGTAATGTCACGGAGTATCACGGGCACGGGCAGATTCAATCGAAGAACCTCCTTAATCACCATTTCCAAGTACTTCAGTTCTGAAAGCTGCTGAGTTGTCGGCTGTAGAGGTTGCGACCAGTCGAACACACTTTTCAGCTCTTCCAATATTTTTTCCTTTGGATTGATAAGTAATCAGGCGAATTTCTACACTTTTATTCTTTTAAATTTTAGAAACAATTTTATGTTTTAATTACTGAAAAATACCGTCCGAAATATTACTTACTTGTACATCTGGATGGCTGGCTAAATGACTCAAGGCAAATGAAATAGCTGCTTCTGTTGTATCGTGACCCTGAAAACAATATCAATTTTAAAAAAAAATTGTATCGTACCCCGTTTTGGGCTAAAAGCTAATACATCTAATAATCATTCGCAGCTAACAGTTTTTATTGAAACGTAAATAAAATGAATTTTCAGCTATCTTTTCAATATTGCTCCATCCTTTTTCCAGCTACTACCTATCGACGTCGAAACGATCTGTTTTCACATTTCCTCAGTTTTTCGATTCTGTAGTAGAAGAATTGAAATATGCATTTAATAATATTAAAGAAAATAAGGTGCAATTTTTTATTGAAAAATATCAAGGTGTTCTTGAGAAAATTTGTGAGAATTTCTGAATGTATGCAATTTTGAACTCGTATTCACATTTTAAAAGTTTTTCAGAAACTTCATAACAAATCATTTGAAGCAATTGTATTCACAAATTATGTTATGTATAAACAAAAGTCCGTAATGTAAATATGAACGTCGTGGGTGATATAGTGCAGAAAAAATGTGTATTTGGCTAAATTTTGAAAATCTAAAGAATACATGAAAGTGGCATTTATGTCATGTTATTCAGAGTAAATATCATTGCCCGCACAAAAGGTGAAAAGAAAAAAAAATTGGACACTTCGGCACATTTTTTAAAAATTGTCTCTATTTCACTTTAAATTACTCGGAAACTATTCTTATTTTGAAAAAAAGTACGTACAACCTCGTTGAAAGATCTCACTTTGAAGAACATATTTTATTCAGAGGAATAATGGCTACCTTCAATACTGTTGTTGAAGAAAGACGCCGAAAAAATTTTGAACTTTTCCAATTTCCGAAAATTCAGAATCATCAATTTCAACGAAAATGAGGCTTGCATCTGTTTTAAATATGTATTTGCTCTAACCGAGGACAACGTTTAATAAACAAGGTTTTGCCATTTTTATAAAAATTAGAAAATGTTCTTGAGAATGTAAAATTCCTCTTCCTGTCAAGCCGGTATGGCTGTTCACATACAAACGGATGGACGGACGTTTTTGCCATAAACCAATTCTTCGGTATCAGGAGCCTACAATATGTATTTTTCAGCAAAAATGTTGCCATTTTTAGCTGCAGCACTGCATAAATTTTGTATTTCTAACGTAAACTACGTATGTAGTATGCGTGAAAGTAAACATTGATCTGACTTAAAAGTAAAATGCTGGGAAGAAACTCGAACGCACTTGTTAATGCCCCACACCAATTTTACAAGCCGACACGCCGGTACAAAAATATTTACCCTTTTGAAACAGGCCGTGCAAATCTTAGTATTAAAAAAATGAACATGTTCAACAGAGCCTGATGTTGCATGTACCACCTGATTGACTGTATCATGCTTGCACGAAGAGTGTATCATGAACGGCAGTCGGATTCACCAAAGACTAAGTATCCCTCAGGGTTTCGAGGGTGTGAAAAATTTCCGTCTTCGCTCAGCATTGAAGGATTCGATTGGATCGTTAGCAACGAGTTTTATCATCCTTAGTAATCTAAATAAACAACCGCCCATTCATTGCAAGTCAACATTATTACAAACAAATCACATGGTAATTTTCAAGACAAATAGTAATCAAAGAAACGCAATATTTTTGGGGATGTTCATTATTAATTACAATGTTCTTAATTGTGCAGTTTGAAAAATAAATATTTGGTAAATTAGCATTATTTTCGTTGCACTTGACAAAAT